CTCCTTCGACCTCGAAGAAGACAAGACAACACCTACAGCAACACAGAACTGTCCGTGTCTCAGTCCACCCAAGCCGACGCAGAGGGAACCCGTGAATGACGAGGTTGTCGTGCACAAAGATGAGCACCATCACTAACCAATGCAGTTCAGCAAGCGATGCCGAAGAACAAACACTGGGGGCTACGCGCTATCCTTAGCCCCCAGCATCCTCACCTTCTGGCGCTTGAGCTGGCCGAGCCCCTCCTGCAGGTCCTCGCACTTCTTCGCCTCCCTCTTGAGGAGCATCACGGCACGCTCCTGCTTCTTCTTCTGGGCTCCCAGTGATGCCAGCTGACTCTCGACGCCCTGCATCGTCATCATCATCATCATCATCATCATCATCGGTATCGTCGTCATCATCACCGTAAATAGCATCGTCGCCATCCTCGTTTTCAGGATCACCATCACCATCACCATCGCCGTCGCCATCATGATCGTGATCAGTACCGCCATCATCACCATCAAAACCAACATCGTCATCATCACCATCATCATCACTACCAACAGCACCACCATCTCATCACTGTCCTCACAATTGTCATCGTTTTCGTCGCATTCGAGTCACAGAAACAAGCAAACCCGGAATCCACACCCTGGCCGAGAAAAAATGACAGCAATGCTTACTCACGGAACCACACCAAACCAAAGTCCCCCCAAACTAACGTGGTTAACCGACCGCACCTTCAAGCGCTCTCTGAGAGCTTCCGCGGTGCCCCTTCCACCCCCACCCCCCCCACCCCTGCTCGATTCCTTGGCGGAACCGTTCGGCGTGGTGGCGTTTTTCATGGTCTCCAGTAGGGCAAGCTTCTCCTGCTCGAGTTCCCCCATCTTCCCGACCAGCATGTCGAACCGCTCCCTGGGCAAACACGCAATAACAACAACAGAAAACAGCAACAACAGCATCGACAACAGCAACAGCAACAAGAACAACAACAACTTTCAGACGTCAACAACACTAGCAATAACCACAACTACAAGTGGGGGGGGG